TACCAGGGGAATAGGGACAAGCCGATCGATACGGTAGCTGCTGTATACTTCTTGCAATTATCAATAGCTGATTTCGCCTTTTGAGGCCTGCATCTAATAATGCAAGCAAATAATAATCGTTTGAGCGTCCCGATAAGCAAGGGAGCCAAAGTTTTAGCTGGCCAGCATTATTTATGTCATCGTACACGCTGAAGTGCCCCTCCTAGGTCTGTATGCAGCCCGGATACACAGTTCAGGGTTACAAGAGAAGTACTTTCATATCGTTTGCATCCCTGAGTGTGAAGATGGATGGCCATGCGCTGATGTTCGTCTGCGAGACATAAAAAGCCATGAAATGTTTGCCTGGGATGCCTACTCCTGAGGTAGTAAGCCATCCTGTAATGTACAAGATGCTATGAAGCACACAGATCTAGATGGATTTATATACTATGTTCTTGGCTCCCATCTATTAAAAATTTCGACATAGTTACCTCAATAGCTTTGAAAGCCAAGAGGGTGACAGCAGGAGCTGAGTGGAATGTGGGTGGGGCAGTGAGTTGCGTATTGGTTTATTTAAGGAGAACATTTTTTTTTTTTTTTAAGGGGAAAGTTATCTTCAAGTGGGTGAGCAAGAAGCTTGGGGAAAAAAAGCCTTTTCAAAAAGCCATAAATATAATTTGGGGCTACATGTTTGCTAGCGCCCCCACAATGTAACAGAAAAGCAACATCTTTATAATTGGCACTTGACATGCTGTTTGCGTTGGGCGGTAGTGCACCAGGCACAGATTTCCTGTTGATGGAAACATTTATCACTGTGACTACTCCAGAGTGGCAGGTGGTGTTATCAATTACCTCTTCTTACCAATAATAATATTAGTATGGTAATATCTTTGCTCAAGTGAGAACCAATTAGCGGTCACTTGTCACACCATTAAAGACACAAAATCATGCTGGATTTAATGGCAAGGACCTAAAACAAAAGTTGGGGGTGGAGGAACCAGAGACAAGGGAGTGAAGGCCAGTGGCGAGAACTGTGATTTGGGGGGGGGGGGGGAATGAAAGGAGACAGAAAATAAAGCTGTAATACTTTAATACTTTTTCTGTATTAAGTGGCTAGGGAAATAAGCACATGATAAAGTATCAAATGCACCTCAGGTAAAAATGTGCTTTGTGGATGGAGAGCCAGGTAGCTTCCCTAAGCTGGGATGTTGAAATAGAACCAACTCTTCAACCTCCCCTTGTCAAATCCATCTTGCAGATAGGCTTTCTGTTTTATCTGAATAAATGATACAAATTAAATCAAACATCTAATTATATGCTCCACTAATGTAAAATCTACAGTATTAATTTGTAAATAATATTATTAAGCAGACAAAATAATAACATGTCGCCTCATAAGATGAAAACAACATTGCAAGAGGAAAGACAATTAACAAATTAGATTTAATTATAGAGAAGAAAAGCAACTTTTGTTTTTGCAATAGTATTTAGGTATGACAATATTTTAATAGGCAGTGGTCATGTGATGGTAAGTCTATGTGTTCTGCATGCATGAGTGGGTGTCCGCACCTCGGGTGCACATTCCCGTGGTTGCCCTTAATCTAGGCACGACTGGAGGATAATCCTGTCCCTCATCTGTGAAAATATGCTGTTGACACGCTGTCACCTCACAATAAATCTATTGTCATGACTCAAGATGCATATGCTTTCATTAAAACTTGCTGCAGTGAATAAAAACAGAAAAGTTTCAGATCTCAGTGGAGAGAGGCAAGGAAGGCAGAACAGGTAAGTGAGGAGGTAATGTGCCTTTTGCTTTCGGCCTTTTAAAAATATATATTGATCCTGTTTACCCCAGTCGATTTTTAAAAGGGTGTGCCACAGATTCACTGATCTGCACCATTTTAGCACTGGCGGGGAATTTGCGAAGGTTATCGTTTCATATCCTCCCTGACCCTTTCCTCCAAGTCTGCCCGATTTTCTCAACGAAATCCCAGCGCAGTACGCGCGGAGGACGGTATGGAGCCTGCGACTTCCCCCAGCCCACTGCACCCTGCACGCCCGGGCGGGACCTGAGCCCACACCCGGCAAGTCGGGCCGGTGCAGCTCCGAGTCCTGCGTTCGCGCCCGCTCACTGTGAGAGCCACCGTGTCCAGCACAGCGCCAAGCACAGCCTGCTGCACCTTCCCCCTTACAAAGCTCGGCACGACTTGCGCGACACCCCTGCAATCTGAGGGTTTGCTTCTTACAGATAAAAGGGCAGGGGTCTCAGATTTGCCTCCACTGGAGGCACCTAAAAGATCCTCTCCAAGACCACACCTCGTAGAAAATGCAAAGCAAGTTGACAAAAATTAAACAGTTGCATTTGGGAGTCCCATAAAGACCTAGGGATATCCTGCCAGTGTGTTGGAGAAAGGTTGGGGGCAGGGGGAGAGGACGAATGGCCTTAAGAACAAAAAAGGTGGGGGTCGGCGCGCGCCAAGTAATCCAAAGAGGAGGAGTCGGTGCCATGGGGGCCAGGAGGCTGCGGGGGAGCCGGGCTCGGGCTTCCTCTGAAAGGCTTCGGACGCTGCGGGAACCTACATTTGCTTCTTCTTCTTAAAGTGTGGATTAAAAAAAAGAAGAAGAAGAAGAAGAAGGGGAGGGGGGGAAAGAAAATTAACCAGATCCCAAAAAGCAGTGCACCTTTAACCTGAGGTCTAACCCACCGATGATTGTTTTTGAGTTCTTGCTCTTCTAGAAAGACATCACCAAAATCTACCTTTCAGCAGCAGCTTAGCAACTTCACCCAACTCTGGCCGGTCCTGTAAATTCTGAGAGAAACTCCCATTCGCTACAACCGCCCACTCCTCACCAACACACGTCCCCTTCTTCTCCCCCACCCCTACTTCTCTTTGCCCCTTTTTCTCTGGGAAAGTTCCTGGCCCCGCTTGCCCCAAAGCCCCGGCCACAGGCTGCAAACTTTTCACTGCCAAGCGCCCCTCTGCCGGATGCAAGAGCATCCCCAAAATGCTCGCAGCATTTGCCAAAGTTCACAGGGTAATGGCGATATAAGGATGTCCCCCCTCCCCCCCGCAGAGCTTCTCCATAAAAGCGTGGTGTGGGGCGGACAACTCTACACTTCAAACATCTTTTATTTGTCTTTTTTTTCCCTTTTCAAAACCAAAATCGCCTTAATGATTACGCCCGCCACTAAAGAGCAAAACAAAACCAACCTTAAGGGTTTGGTTTTTTTTTTGAGGGGGGACAAATGTGGCGGCGGGGATTCTTTGGAGGGGTGCCGACCTGTGCGCTTCCTTCCTCTGATTTTCCTGCGCTTTCCTGGAGCCCAAAGCTGTTGCTTCGTGAAACTTACACAATTAGAGTCGGGCGAGAAAACGCAGGCTGGGAAGCGAGAAGATTCTAGAACGGAAAAGAAGCCCGTGGAGAGGCGGGCGAGCCGCTCAGGGTCGGGGTCCATCCCGTGGGGGGGCGGGTCCCGCAGCCAGGCAGAGCCCCACCCCCAGCCGCGCGCGGAGCTCGCAGCCCTCCGTGCGTTCGGGGCTGGCGAGTCGCCGCCCGCTTCCCCCCAGCGCACGACACTGGGGAGGCCATCCGTATCAAAGCTCCGCACCACACAGGGCCACATGTGAGGACAAAAATAAGGAATTTAGGAAATGAAGAAAGACAAACTGGGACGAGGGGCGCACAGGGCCGGGCGCGCCGGCGCCAGGGCCTGGGGCACAACCGGGTGGCCGCTCGGGGACCGAGGACACGCGCGAGAGTGAGCACGCGGGAGAGGGCGAGCGCGCGTGTGCACGGGGGCGGTGGGGCGCGCGCGCGGTGCGGGGGCGCGCGCGTGTGAGCGCGGGCGAAAGGCGGTGGGCGTGCGGGAGCGCGCCGCGCCGGCCGCCCGAGGGTGCGGGGCCGGGCCAGACGCGCGCGACCCCCTCACCTACCCCCGAGCCACTCCCGAAAGTCCTGGAACGCAGCGGGCCGCGCGCGGGACTTTCGTGGACTTGGAACTTGGAGTCGCGTGGCCTCGGGGCACCTTGCATCCCTGCCCAGTCCGCATACGTCCAGGCCCGGCACCCGTCGGGAAGGGGAGCTAGTGGGGGGTCCACCGGAGCCCCGCCGTGCCCGCCCTCCCGTTGGCTTCAAGGGGCCGCTGGCGGCGGGGAGGCCCGGCGGGCGGGGCGGGCGCTCCGAGTCGGAGGGGCCCGCGGGGCGGGGAGGCGAGGGCGGAGGGGAGGGGGCGCGGGGAGGGGAGGGGAGGGGAGGGGAGGAGCCGCGCGGCCCGCGCCGCTTCCGAACCGGAAAGTTGGTCTTGCCGAAGTCCCGCCACCCCGGCGTGCGCACTCCGCTCCGCTCCGGCCGCCGGCGGAGCCCGCGGAGGGGACGCGAGCCCGGAGAGGAGAGACGGTCCGCAGACAGGGGCACCCGAGCCTGAGCGCGGGCGGCGCGCCGAGCGAGACCCGCCGCCGAGGAGCCGAGCCGGCCGGCCGCCGACCCCGCGCGCCCGGAGCGCGGGCGGCGCGGCGCCCGGGCGGGCCGGCGAGACAAAGGCGCCGGGCCGGAGCCCTGCCCGCGGCCGCTCGCCCCGGGAGGGGCGGCCGGGCGGCGGGGGGGCGCGCGCGGGGCGCGGGCGGCGGCGCAGCCTCCCTATAAAGGGGCGAGCCCGGCGCGCGGGCGGAGACGCGCCGCGCGGACGCCGCCAAAGTTTGCCGCCCGCGTCCCGGGCAGCGCGGCCGCCGCGCCCCGCGCCCGCCGCGCCAGTCGCCGGGCCGCCGGCGCCGAGCTGGGAGCGCCGCCGCGCCGGGTCCCGCAGGCGCCCCTCGCCCCGCGCGGCCGCTAATTGCGAGCGCGGCCTCATTTGCATAGGCCGCCGAGCCCGCCGGAGACCGGCCAATCGGCGCGGCCCGCCGCTCCTGGCCATGCATTATTCACCGGCCTAATTGCTCAGCCCCATGCGCGGCCCGCGCAGCCGCCGCCGCCCGCGCCCCGCGCCCCGCGCCCCGCGCCGTGCCCGCCGGCCGCCCCGCTGATGCCGGAGTCCCGCCCGGGGCCCGCGCGCCGCTAGCAGCATGTCTCGGCGCAAGCAGGCCAAGCCGCAGCACCTCAGGTCGGACGAAGAGCTGCCGCCGCCGGACGGGGCTCCCGAGCACGGTGAGGCGCCGCGGGGGTCGGGGCGGCGGGGCTCGGGCGCGGGGCACCGCGGGCCGGGGGCGCTGCTGGCCCCAGAGCCGGCGCGCGGTGCCCGGCCCCGGCGGGCCGGCCGCAGGAACCCCGGTCCTCCCCGGAGCGCGCGGCGCGGAGTTGCGGGCAAGTAAACTTGGTCGGGCTGCTCGGAGTTGGGGCGCAGCGCGCGGACGGCCGGGGCTCGGGCAGGCGGGTTGGGGGCCGCGGGGGCCGCGCCCCGACCCCGCGATGCCCGCCCCGGGCCCCTGCGCCTGCCGCTGGGCCGGCCTCGGCGACCGCGCGCCCCCCGGGCCGGCGCGGCAGCGGGGACGTGTCCGGGGCTCACCTACCGCCGGACGCGGGCCGGGGAGGCCGCCGCCCGGCCAGCTTTGTTCGGAGCCCGGCCCCGGGGCGGTGCACGCTCGGAGCGGGGCCGCTGCGCTGACCCCCGGCCTGCCCCCCACCGCGGCCGGCTGTCGGCCGCCCCGTGTGCCCCGAGGGCCGTGAAGCCCGCGAGGCCGCGGCGCGCCGACGCGCCCGGATCCCGTTCCGGGGCGAGTGGGAAGGCGGTGTGGCCCGGCCTTTCTAATGGCCGCCTTGGGAATAAGCCGGCTGAGCCCCGCCGCGGCGTGGGGGTGGTCCTTGCACGCGGTGGGACCCGGCGCGTCCCGGCGCCTCCAAGTTCCCTCGGGCCTTTCCTGTCCTCTTGGACGCGCCGCAGGCACCTCTGCAGCCTGTAGGCTGCCGGGAGCTCCCTCCGCTTCCCGAAGGGGAGGTAGGAGCCGCGGGACGTGGAGGCTGGCGAGCGGGGCCCGGCCCGGCTGCGCTTTGCCGCCCGCGCGTCTGCAGGTCCCCAGGGCGCGCCAGGGGCGGCCGGGGCGGCCGGGGCCGCGCGGAGCTCCGACCGCAGCTCCTGGAAAAAACAGGCCGGCCAACTTTCTTGAGCAACCCGTTGTAAGTTGTTTCGAGGCAGAGACGCATCTTTTTACCGTGAGACTCGGTGCAAAAAAAAAAAAAAAAGAGTTTAAGAGTTTATCACACGCTGTTGCAAAGTTTGGCAAAGCAGGTACGTGTCCACGTCGGACTGGGGAAAGGGAGAAAATGCTTATAACACGGTGGGAATTAGTGAATTAAATAAAATTAGTGAACTCGTTAGGGTCTTTTTGTCGCTGTGGAGGTAGGGAGTCTTATCTGTAGCCTAGTCACCCAAGATTAGAACAGCAGATATGCTAAAAAGAAACGCTTGCATATGGTGGGTAGATTAAGGACAAAGAATCTTTTTGTCATGGAAATGGATTTTTTTTTGTTTTGTTTACTTCATCACATAGAATTTCTCACACTTGGTTTGTTTTGTATTGCCCTCAATGACTACATGATCAAATGAATGGATTTATTTCTGCCGAATGAGAAAGACAGTCTTTCCTTCAAAAGAACTACATTGCATCCCAGTGAGGAATTTTAAAGCTTTATTATTGTGGCTCCTGAATAGCTTAAAATCGGCTTTCACAGCCGCCCCAAAATGCAACAATGTAAATACTTCTCAGCTTTGTAGGGTCGTTATCAAAATGTGCAATGTCTCCTTTTATTAAAGCATATTTTAATTAATAGAGTAAAACCCCTTGTATTTAACAATTAACAAGCTGAGGCCCTGCTATTCATTTTTAATTTCACGTCAGAAATGTGAGCATGGTGAGCCTAATAGTGTAAACATGTTGAGGGATATGTAGCCTATATTTGAAAACCTAAGATGGAGTAAATTATTTACAAGTTCTCTTTTGAATTCCTCTTGTTACTGAATTTATTTAGAGGTGAAAGGTATTCAGGTTTGTTGTGTTTTTGTTTTTTGTTTTTTGTTTTTCTTTTTACCCATCGTAGGATTAAAGTTTGTCAAGCTTGGGTTTTTCACAGTCTTTGGGAATTGTAATCAAGATATTGCCACAGTTCCTGATCATATTTTGCAACAGGCCAGAAATAGCCTGTCTGGGGCTGAGGCTTAGTCAAGTAGTATGTTTCCTGGATTGTTTTAAAGGTACTTTAGGCAAACTATTTAAAAAATAGTTCTTTCTGATTTATTCTGAAGCTGATTGTTCATGGAGTATAAAAGATACTCTGTTCTCCGTTCACTCAAGGAATGCTCATGGATGTATTACTTTGTCGTGCTGATCGTTATTAGTAAGATAACTAGAATATTTTTTTAAGAGGAAGGGTCCTGAAAACTCCCTTACTCCAGCATGAATCAGATATTCTCAAAATTGTAAATTTGTTAAATGCAATGGAAAGAAACAGACTGCATGAAGTTATAAGAGAGCTAAGTTAGTTTACAGTGTTTTAGAGACAAAGTAAATAGTTCTTTTGTATCAGTTTGGGCGTGACATATTAATTAAAGCAGTAGATGCATGAAGTAAAATTGAAGGCTATTGATAATGCCATGAAAAACACGTACAATTTTTAGTACAATATGGGGGAGAGCAGAGGAGCACAGTCACATTAATTTACAGTAAAAAGAGATTGGTTCTTTTAAAAATATGACTATTTCTCAGGCTTTGGTTTTTAGGCAAGCAATGAAATATAGGTATCCAAAAATAGCATCAGTGTTACCCAAACCTCATCATGGAAGAAATGAAATATGACGTATCTAAAATGAGAAAAAGTAATAATGGTTGGTGTTAAGTTCTAAAGTTATCCTGTTGTAAAATTTATTTGAAGGATGCCTGAGACTTACTTTCTCTGTAAGAACTATCATTTAAAATTGCAAATTATTTCATTCCTGTTTCTGAAAAATTAGAAATAAATGTGATGCAGCTTTAGAATTCAGTTAAATATATGCCACGGATAATGAAATCTTTTGAGCCAGCTGAATATTTTTGTTCTAAGAAAAATTAATTAAAACTTCTGACAGAACAGCACTTACACTCCTACTAAGAACTTTTAAAAAGTGTGATATTGTTGTCCTTTGTTGTATAAAATACAACTTAATAAAGATGTATTTTATTGTCGTTAGAAAGAAAATATGTATTTAAGGAAGAACAAAAGGATGTTATAATTTAAGCCAATTTGCCATCCTGTATTTTGTTTGTTAGCACTAATTGTTTCAAAGTGTGTTTTTATTTTCTGCCAACTTACAGTCGTATGGCTATCTTAAAAATCCTTTTAAATGTAGTGAGCGTGTGATTTCAGAATTTACCAGTGGTATTCACAGACTGTGTTTAAATTAAGGGAAAGAAGGCCACCAGCCCTCGGTGAAGAGATCTTTTTTCTTTTATCTGTATATGCATGGTTTGCCTTGAGTACCCCCCCCCCCAGCCCACACTGCACACATTTACAATTCAGCATTCCAAAAGCAAACAATACAGAAGCCACTTTCTACCATTCGTAGGCAGATTGTTTTCTCTGAAACATGAAAGGTGAAAAGTAACTAAGGGGGGCGGGGGAGGAAAAGAAGAATTTGCAAATATTTATTTTTAAAATAACATTTTAAAAACTTAACCTATTTAAAAATGCATCATTTGGTGGTCAACAAAAAGCATGCCAATTCCCACCTTACAGAGAAAGAACTGATTTTGTAGCAGTTAGGGGGTTTTTATGTACATTTTAAACTTCCACAACACATGCATAATCCAGTATTTTTAGATCTGTTCAGAGCCAGAAAAAGAAGAAGGCATGTACCAACAGCAGGAATTACTTAGCAAGCTGATTATTTTTTTGTATACAAGATGATGGCAAAAGCAGGCAAAAGTGGGTCAGATTTCATTTTCAACCGCAGTCTCTAAGAGGCTTTACCATTCATCTCAAGGTAGCTCTGAGAACATTGGGGGGTGTGGGGGGGGGCGGAATTCAGCAAAGAAGCAGCCAAGGTGTCCGTTGTGTGTGCTGAACATCATTTAGAATTTAGCATTCTTAAGTGTGAGAATTGACACAGGGTGTTTTGGTGTGTTTGGTTTTTTTTTTTTTTTTTAAGTAAAACAAGTCTTAACTGCTGATGACCTTATGCACCATCTTTTAACGTTGCAAAATAGTTTCAAGGAGGATACTTTTTGCATAGTATTTATAACAGGGTTTTTTATTTTATGTTAATTTTTATTTTCCCACATGATTTTCTTGACTAGTTGCCAGAATAAGACCAAAATATGTTACTTCGTCTCCTAAAGATGTGATCTGATCTTGCTAGTCCTGGGACAGGTTTGTAATGACAGCGTATGCTAAGTTGCTTCACATTTCATACAAAATCAGACATAAGTAAAACCTATGTAAAATTGAGTGTTCTAATATTACTTTATATAAACCTCTATATTTTAAAAAAAAAGCCCTGACCTTAGATTTTTCTCTTGTAATTTGGACACTTTCATGACTTAAACTATAGTTAACTGTCAGTGTGATTTCCAAGCAAACAAATAGGTCCGGTCACGTTACAGAGAGTGTAAAATATTAATTGAAATAATGAAATAACGTAACGGGCTCTGTTTATGTGAGAGATTAAGATTGATTTGTTTGTTAATTAAAGGGGACCCGGCGGCAGAACTGTCCACCAGAGACCTGCCGGGCACCAGCCTGGTGTCTAAATCCTGTCGTCCGTGGGCCTGTCTTTTCCAGTCACCCCCGGTTTGGCCAGGCCGGCCATGTGGCTCCCTGCCCCCTGCTCTGCCGGAAAGCGTCTGGCCGCCCAGCGCCGAGCCGGGCCTGGCCTGAGGTCTGTGGAAGGTAGGCTTGCGGAGTGTGGGAGCTTCCGCCTGGCGCTCCCCTAAGGTGGGTGGTTAGAGGCGCCGTGACAGGCCTTGCTGATTTAACCTTTGCCTGCTTTGCCCTGCCAGGGGTGGCCACTAGATGTCAAGCTCATAATACAATTAGTGCATCTGTGCTGTTGACCTTGGCAACAGGACTCAACACTGTTCTATTAAGTGTTAACACTGAGTCTGAGTGTTAACTAGAGACCCACGAGTCGGCTCCGTGCCGCACGGCTTATCAAATGCCCATCTCGTTCAGCACAAGTG